CACTTTTTCAAAAAGAAAGCAATTAGTGATTCAGTATTAAAAGCACACATTAAGACAACAGGTAAATATATGTAATAAAAAACAGAAAGATACAATCTGTGGGGGATTGTTGTCAAGTGTTAAAGAAATCAAAACACCCATAAATATGATCTTATTAACAACTAAACTCAATTTCACCATCTGTGTATTCTTGAAACTTGTGTCTGAGAGTCTTCAAGTTCTCTTGGGCTCGTTGGTTTGGAGCTGCTGTCTTGCACAGAACATCTTCCTGGGATGCTATTTGCTGCAGTAGGGATCTAAGGTGGGCCTTGACTTCTTGATCGGATTGTAGAGCCTATTATTGGCAAAGAACAACACTGATTGTCATGGCTTTTCATCCAGATTGCTAAGGTAAGGCACACATGCAGGGCCCTTCGCCATCTGAACTCACCAGCTCCCTCTGTGCCCCACCCTCCCCGAAGCCCCCTCTGAGCCTGGGGCTGCAGTCGCACCACAGCACCACAGTGTCTGCAGCTTCCTGAGTCGGCTGTGCTCTTTCGTGGCTCTAGTGTTGCCTACGCTGCTCTCTTGGAACACACTTTACCTCCTTATTTTTTAATCTGGTAAAAAGCACCAATTTCTATATCACCTTTATTTACCCTTTGGTTAAAAATATTGATCATCTACTATGGATTAGACACTGAGGATTCAATGATGGACACTAATGTGTTTCCCTTTAAAGGGCTACCAGGGAGTCAGAACTAGAAACTGGCATTTGCAACAGGGAGAAAAGACCTCTAAGAGGCAACATAGGGACCGCTGGGCAGAGAGAGAAGATCCCACCCAGCTAGAGCGGGTAACGGCCTGAAACCCGAGTGATTTCACCCCCTGAAACTCACCCAGGTGAGGAGGGAAGAGAAAGTGTGTCGTCTGCCCTTCCAGGAAAACTTTCCTTACCTCCCAGAAAGTTAATTAATACATGACAAAGGTGACATTTTAATTCCCTGGGAAGAGAATTATTTGAAAAATGCTGGTGACAAAATTAGTTAACTTCGGCACTTTGTTAAAAAACAGATTCTTAACTCACACCATTACTAAAGTAAATTTCTGATGAATTAAAGAGGTAAATGAAAACAAGACAAAACCACAAACAGGAAGAAAACATTTACAAATATTTACTCAGTAAGGAGGTGGGAAAAGACTTTCTAAATACAAAAGCAAAGGGAGAAAGCACTAAATAGAAGACTACAGAGAAGACAAAAGCTTCTTTCTTATTGTCAAAAGGTGCCACAAATACAAAGAGTCCAGCAAATCTAATAAAATATATTAACAACATATGTAATGAAAAGATGTGGTGGGCGTCGCTCCTCAGCATCCACTCTCCATCTCTTCTTTTCCATCACAGCCCATGCTTTTGACCAGGCAGGTCCATTGCTCCCTCATAGATCCCAGGTACTAGGTAGTGGCGGGCGTGCTTGGTCTAAGGCAGAGACTACCACCCCCTCCCCCACAGTGATGGGCTCAGGAATGAACACGTGACTCCATTCAGGCCACTGGGATAAGAAGACAACTGCTGGGCCTTGGTAGGAAGAACTGTTCTTCAGTCTTGGAACAGCACCACTACAGAAGGCAGCCTCTCTCTCCTCTGAAGCTTGTGGCTGTGTGGCTGGAAAGGCAACACTGGCTGCAGTCATTCTGGCCTCACAAGAGAAGCAGCCTCTGGATGAAACCAACATGTAAGTAACGTATGGCTACAGGGATGACTGAGAAATGAGCCAGACCTGCTAAATTAAGGGATTGTGAAGCTGGATTCCAGGTCTGTGCTCTGCAGCTGTGGATCGATTGCTACACTATCACCTACGGCACTCTGGAGAAGCCCCTGTACCTACTGAGGGTACTACATTGG